GTTTATTAACCTAAAGTTGATCCCCTACACCATTGTAACCATTAAAAAACAGGCATACAGCTCGTATGAAGCAGATAGGAGCAAATCCTGCTCTCAATAAAGTCAGTGAGGAAATTCACAGGAATTTTAGTGGGAACGGTTGGACCAAATGTAGTTCCTGTTGTGGTATCTGAGACTGACAAGCTTGAACCTGGGATACGGATGTATGGAGGCTAAATTTCACTTTGAGTGTTAATACTGTTTTAGAAAACTAAATAAAACAAAGAATCATGTTCTAACACGATTCATGACAACATATGGGAAAAAAAAATAAAAATCACTCAATTTAAGAACAAACCCAAACAAAATCCCGTAAGTTTCCACCCTGCGGGTAACAAACCCTTGAAAAAGTGAACAAACCTTAAAGCTTCCAAAACCAGAAGGCAAATAGAAAGGAACAAACCATCTATTTGTCTCATAACGTACACGTTTTATGTTCACAGAGCTGACAATGCTGCCCTTTCCTACCACATTAATGTGAGAGCTCTCTGTGGACTAGGAAAAAACAGATGCAGAGAGGTAAATGTAACAAGATGGATGCTTACCCACTAGCAAAGAAGGAACCAGCAGGCAGTAATTATAAAACCTCTTTCTCAGGGCTGCAGCAGGTTGACTCAAACAAATTTAAAGGTCTGGGTCACCCCAGAAAAGAACATTGGGAAAAAGTTCCTGTACTAAACTAACTCAGCAGCAGTGCAGCCTGAAGAGACAGGGAGCTCAGAAAAAACGTGCTCAGGAAAGGGCTTTGCCTGGTGGTTTTGGTGGTGGCCTATTCTTACCCCACACTTTCCATGAGGTACGGTGGTTTTCACTACCTCTGCCGTGCTGTTATTGTCTCGCTGTGTTCTACCCGGCAGATACAAACCCATAATGCCTCTATACTCCTCTAAGGACAGCAGCAGCCTACGTTAGGCTGCCCAGTTTCACACTGTTGTCGGTAAAACTCCTCCTGTACCCGCTATATATAGCTATATACCCTATGCTGCAGTCTGTTATATACAGATTACTGCTGACTTTAAGCACTCAAAACTAGGATTCGTTACAACTGCCAGACTGTATATCTGAAGTATTGACCCCTGCTTTGTTGATTTGCAGTGGAATTATCCTGATGATAGGATCCACAGCAACCCCCTTCAAACAGCTGCGGTACCGCCGAGGGTACAACAGTACGTCACACCCAAGGGTTTGACCTTGAACACGGCCGATCACGTTTCTTTACAGGCGGTTGCTGGCAGACTGACAAAGCAGCAGCAAATTGAAGTTTCTCAGAACATCATTATCATTTGCTGAACTACTTTGTGTTATTACAAGAATGGGAAGTGAAATTAACAGTACACAATAACATTTTCTGCTGAAGAAACCATTGATGATAACAATGCAATTCAGTCTCAAGAACAACATAGCACTGGAAACACACAGCCTTAGCAGATTTGCAAACCTTCTGCTCAAAGTCTCAAACCCAGTCTGAAAAGAAAACAACCTCAGATGGCCCTTAAGGAAAAGTAAATAAACATGCATCATGCTTCCTTGCAAAAATCGGTGACCAACCTTGTTACTTACGCACAGGCTGCAACACATGACAATGCTGTCAGCCCTCACGTAAGTGATACAATGCCAAACACCAAGTGAATTTCAGCTGCCCAGCCAAGTAGCTATTATGGTCTAATTCACTTCTCCACACATTGTCTTAAATACAATGGATGTTTACACTAAAATTGTTATTTTTGCTAAACCAATGTAAAGTTCTTCCTCACACAAACCATCCACCCACCCCACAGTTTGCTTGCCTCTGCTACTTCCTGCACAGCTGTTCCTTCTTGAAACATCTGACACCTGCAAAGGGCCTGTCCCCCCACACTTTAGCCTGACACATCTGAGATTCTGTCCTGTTAGGACACGCACATGCTATGGGATAAGTGCCAGGACGCAGTAGACGCATCCCACTTCTGAGCAGCCTTAGGATACTTCAGCGAACGAGGAGATTGTGGCCATAGCCTCTGTAATGAAAGGGAGCCAGCGTGCTGGTCAAGTTGGTGCACAAAAGTATTTTTGAATTCTTGGAAAGAATCACATTCTCCAGTTCAGTTCCAGAACCAATAATGTTATTCTGCTAGACAGAACGTTCTCTGTAATTTAGCTGGATATGAAATTTGTCTTTAGTGATGTTGATTTTCAGCTGTTACACAGCTATGTTCCAATGGTAAATGAGTTTCCCTATTAAAAGGTCAGATGGTTGTAAGAGAACCAATTACGCAAATCTCTGTATAATTTCTACACATTGGATAAGCCTTTCATGCATGCATACAAATTTCCTAGACTTACTATATAACATACTTCTACTGCATGCATGTTTTAAAAAACACTCAGGAATTTTCAGGACAAGAAATGAAACTTGACCTTTTTAGAACATTTTTAAACAGCAATTAATGCAGCATAAAACTTCTGACAAGACTTTCATACGTTAATATATCTGATATAATAAGCATGGGAAGATTGTTTGATCAAGGCCCAATACATCTGTGACAGAGCATGTACATGGGTTTTATTCCTATGCCACAATTCAGCTCTCATACCCAGTTTTCTCCTCCAACATGTTAAGAGTTTATTCCCTCTGCTAATGAATTAAAGCCAATAAAACCAGAGCAGCCTTGGTTTGAAGACTTTAGTAATACATACAGCTGTACCTAAGTAACACATCTTTTTGACATAAAAAGTTGTATTACAGGTGGGCCAAACGCAGCAATACATCCATCAGCCTACATGAGTAACTTGCAGCATTTATTTTGTACACAAGCCATTTCAAGAGAAGTAAGGATCAAGCTACTCAAGGAACGGTCTCATCTTTGTTATTTAAACAAAACCAATCAAGAAAAAGCACAGGATTTAAATCTAATAAGCATTCTCATTGACCATGTTGATGAAAATAAGGAAGAGCCAGATGCTGATAATGCAGGCAAATTCTGGATTTGTTACTTTCTGGCAGTTCTCTGTTCTAACAAGAGCACCTGTATTATGGCAGTTCAGAGCAGGAGGTGAAATGCTGGAAAAGAAGTTGCACTTGGAGTCTCAGCTGGATTGGTCTGCCTGGCCAGCTAATTATGCAGCAGTGCTTTCCTCCCTTCTACAGTCTCTGCAAATGCAAAATATTCCTAATGTTTAAAAATAAAGCCATCTCTGAAAAATGACTGTTAACTATGAATAACTTAGTCTCTATGCAGTGCAATTTAGTTTATTGTAACAAGTTAAGCTTTATGTGTTTCCTTATTTACCACTGTTGAAGAACCTAGTATCCCTGCCTATGGCAGGGGGGCTGGAACCAGATGATCTTTAAGGTCCTTTCCAACCAAACCACTCCCCCACTCCAAAATTGCTTCAGGAGAGCTTCAGTCACTTGACAGTATTATGTTTCTTTTGAACAGAAAACCAGGGTTACTGTACAAAGCAGTTATCCAGCATCCAGTTGGTTTTTTTTTTCTTAACCACAGCAACAGTGCAAGTTAAAGGACACACCTTTGTCACTATCTGCATGCTGTGATGGAAAGGGTTATGTCTAAGCATCTTCTAAAGCACAAATTCAAAGGTATAATCACCTGTTTACAAAGCTCCCAAGAAAATGCCTCACCTTATAGTTACCAGATTAAAGGTGAAACGAAAGCCAGGAGGAATATTACTTCCTACAATGGTTCTGACATTCCCTGAATGTCACAACCGATTTTAGTTGTGAAACATCTATTAACTTACTGACACCCACAGGGAGAGAATAAGATTTGGAAGGAATCTAAAGGTGGGAATCTGATAGCTTCACAGATGCCTTCGTGCATATCCTGAAGTGCCCATTTTGGTAAGGCCCAACAGATCCAGAAACCAGAATCTCTAGATAATCTCTGCCTCCTGAAAGCCACTCAGCTTTAAGCTCTTCACAAGATACTGCAATGGCCACCACCTTTTAAAGCCTGTCCTTGGAAGGTCTTGTTACTTACAGAACAACTGCAGACTTCACTCAAGATTGGAAAGCCTGTATTCACCTCACTCTCCCCTTTACCTCAGTGCTTTCAACTCTAAGCATTTTGCCCCCCTCCAAATGGAGGCCAGATAAGGTGCTCAAAGTTTTATAGTGCTTTTTATTCCTGTAAACCCCTCAGAACATTACTATCTTGGTAAAAAGCTGCCTGATCTCTTGTACATACCAAAGCAGTACTTTGAAAACAGACATCAAGTCTCCTTTCAGAATAGCTCTGATGTGTAGGTTGCTTTGTCTCCATCTAATTTTTACTACAGCTGCTATTAGGAGCAAGAACACCTCATCTGTTCTTTATAAGCCAATAAACTTATTTCTAAAAGACACTGTCTAATACTTTCTACTTAAGCTTTCATCTGTGCATCTTGGAAAAGGCTCCCTTAAAAGATGGAGGCAATTATTAAAAAAACTGAAAAGCATCAGTCTAAACTTTAGATCTTGACTCTTACTACCCATTCTTGACTTCCTGAAGCATCACAAACAGCACAGAAGTTTTATTTTGCTTTCCCTATCCACCAAAACCACCCTGTTCTCTAGAATTCTGCAAATCTAAGGAGTTAAAAAACTGTAAAAAACTTGAAAGCTTCCCTCTACAGAAGTCACAGTTGACTTAAACCTAGAACTAGCCATTCCCCACTCAAGTAAGAGGCTGTTTTGGTAAGGCAAAGATTTATTAATTTTCATGTATCATGTCAGACCAACTGATAAGATATTTACACAACAGTTTGAAATACACAGTATTTGCATTGTATACAAGCAACTAAGTGCAGCCTGTAGTAAGTTTTCTACGCAGTATCCAGATCCTTCCACTGCTACATAATTCCAGTTAAAACCCAACATCTGTAATGCTTCCACAAGAGTTTCTATACCTGAGAAGTTTTAGTATACCCTTTCAAGAAGTCTGCAATTAAAAGCCACATACATAAGCGTATTTAAAAGGTTGTCATTCCAGTTGCAAATTATCTGCTTCCTTTGAAGCAAGATCTGATATACTCTCCCTTAAGCCACAGGATACTTGTGACAGTCCTTCAGAAGAGCTGTCTGCATCATCTCCACAGTTAAGCTCTTCATTTTCTTGTTTGGATTCCTCTAGAGCCAGACTCTTCAGTGTCTCCAGATTGTCTCCAGGTGCTTGCCCAGTTAGCCTCTAAAAAGAAACCAAAGACAGTAAACTTAATGCTTTTTTGATTTAATAGCCAGTGAAGTAAGCCTGTACATACTGAATTAAGCAAACTAATAGTCTTCACTTGGAGATTGTCGATGTAATTAAAAACATCCCTCAGTCACAAAAGTCTTAAGACACTTGAGTTCAACTCAAATTGCTACCTTTAACTCACAGACCACATCTGCTTTGTTGACTGTTAAGTCTTCTTTAGGTTCTTCAGTAGGACAGGTTTTATCTTAAGCAACCTAAAATATGGGAAACAGCTTCCCAAGCTAAATATTACTGTAGTACTACATAGGTTTAATTTTAGAAAAATTACCATACAGATTAAGTTCATAATTGTTATTCAGAGATAAAGGTACATTAAGTCTAGAGGAACTAGAAAGACCCAGCAGCTTCTAGCACTTGATCAAACTAAAATTTCCTCGCCTAACCTGACCTAAGGAAGAAAAATAGGACTGTAAGAGGCTGCTTTTGAGGCTTTGGGTTGTTTGATGTATCACTTAAGGTTCATTAAAGCCTCAGAAGTGTGCAGCTTACAACTAATAAGTGAACTTCACTGTTGAGGAACTGTAGAGAAGTTTCCAACTACATTAGCTCTTTAAGTCCCTAAGTCATTTAATTTCTGCCTGTGGGTTTATCACTAACAAGCAGCACCCCCTGAATACCAAAAAACTCAAGTGTAGCAAATTAGTGGAGTCTTTCCAGGCTGATCTAAATTGCACTAACTGCAAATTAACTTGATCAAGTTTACTTCTTGATTAATCAAGCTGCCTGCAATTATCTTCCATTTTGTTTCCACCTCCCCAGTCCAATCAGAGACTCAAAATATTTGCCAGGCACCCAGCTTTATATCCCAGCTCAATCTCTCCAAAAATGACCTAGCTGATAATTTTAGTATCAAGGTTCTGTGGCTATATATTTATTACAGCCTCAGAGGGTGTTACAGACAATCTGCTCCTGATAAAGGAGTCACAGAATCAGTGACACCACAACCTGTCCCCAAGGAATTCTCAAAGGAAGCTGCTTTCAAATTTACAAGTTTGTGAACCCTACAGACTTTGTGCATTAGCTCTTTTTGGGCCACGGAACTAGGAATTCCTCAGTGAAACCTTGACTTTAAAGAGCATAGAGTGGTGCAGTGAGAGGGAGAAGGGAGCACCTATGTCCCTGTTTCAAGTTTAGTTCCTCAAAGGACACAGCCAGTACAAACACTTCATTTAGCCAGCAGCCTCACACAACCTATTTATTAAGCATTTGAATTCAAGTCACCCCAGAAAAGCGATAATGATTCCTTCCTTCCTTCCCTTGTCACCATCTAACATGCAAAGCCTGTTCTGTTAAGACAATAGGTTGAATTTCCCCTTCAGAAAACACAACTGGATACTTTCTCATTACTCCTGTGGGTTCCGAGGTGGAAAAACTAATCTCCTAGAAGGGGCTTTATGCCTCTGTTAGAACAATCCCACATGGGGGAACAGGTCAGACAATTTAAAATGGAGTTGTATGAGCACACAAAACACAAGTCATGATTCATTAAAAATACCTTTGCTGGTTTCTCACTTTTTCATTCTACAACATTAACTGAAAATTCCTTTAAGTACCTCAATCATGCTGGTCATATAATGCACGTGTTCAGCAAGGGACATTAGCTCTTCATTTTCCTCTTTTAGGCGGGCAATTTCACCATCTTTCTGTTCGATTTCTTTGTGCAACTGAGTTCAAATAACAAAATGTTAAAACAGGAAGACATTAGCAAGTGGTAAAAGAGTTAGCTATCTTTCACTAGCTACCTTTTCGTTTTCTTGAAGCACTTCATACAGAGCCTTCCTCCTTTCTTCAGCCAGTTCTTTCCAATATTGAGCTGAAGGACTTCCTGAAGTAAGAAGTTACAGTGAGTCTGTGCTCAGACTGAATTCTTGAGATCACCTTAAGACAGCTAACTTGTACATAAGCATTTATAAACTGTGATAATAAGAACTCACTCCATACAGTGTTTTCCCAGAGATTAGCTGTAAATTTATAACTAGAGACAAAAGTTTACAGAAAACAGAGAACCTACACTGTATTAATGGCTATACAAGTAGAGTCTTCAAGGGGCTGCCTCAAGCACAGCAGAAGGATTTGCAGGATGGTCACATTTGCAAGTGTCACTCTTAACATGTACTTTGTGGAAGACAGAAGTCTTATTCCCAAGTCACCGTCCGTATCAGGCCTAGCAGTTCTGAGAAACTGCACACAGCATGCTATATCAAAACAGACTTTCATTTCAACTTAATTATTGGTCACTTGAAAGCTTGTAGCCAAGCCAAAGCAACAAACTACAGGACAACTTAACACTGCTGCACACAATGGTTCTCAGCTACTGGATACCATAAACTCATTCTTAAACATTAGGTATCTATACTGTATTTACTATCCTACAGATAAGTAACATTAATTCCCACTAGGCACTACAAAAAAACCACAAAGCCCTTATCTAATTGACAAAGGAACCACGTTTCAAGCTATATTCCAAAGACAGTACAGCATTTTTAAGTGCAAGAAAACATTTTGGGAATTACCATGTACCTTTTATCATGAGATCTACAGCTTGAATGACATCATCCACATTCTCATTTTCTTGCTTCTTGTCCCCAGACACCTCAGCTTTACAAGCCTTTGAGGTGAACTTGTTATTCCAGAGCTTCCTTTTGACTGAAGATTTCTTCTGCATAAAACACAGGCAGGTTTAACTTCACAGCAGTATTTCAGCTTTTTTTTAAAAAATACAAACTTGTAAGTCTGCTTACTCATGCCGGTAAATAAGTTGTCTTTCCTCACATTATACTTCTAGTTTACAGACATATTCCTTGATATCCATAGGTTTAATAAAAGAAAAGCCTCAAACATTTTCCTGAAGTACTCAGAAATTGCTAGTTTAATATTTTTTTATTACTAAAATAATAGTAAGCTTAAGTTATGTCACACTAGTTAGTGGATTATATTTTTTTTTTAAATATATTAGTTTTCAGCCAGAAGCTCAAAAGCTATGAGTAGAAATAATTACACATCTACAGGTTATCTTTTAACTCTTACCTCATTACGTCTGCCAACCAGGCAACCTGTTGCTGAAGGCTGAATCATTTTAAGAGTCCGTCTTGGGGCAGCACTGCATGTGGTGTCTGTGAGGTACTTCTAAAAAGACAAATACAGCTTCAGACAGTTGCTACTCTTCTATACGTAAAAAGAAACTTAGGAATTTGTCATGCTTCCATTAAGGTAACCCATGGTTCATCTTTTTAAGACAAAAAGATGATACTTCAGTCTATGTTAAGGCTTGTGTAAAAAAGGGGATCTAGTTATTTGTAGCAGAGATGGACGTTAATCACATGAAGCTATGCTCAGTCCCTGCCTCTTAGAAAACCCTTACCCTTCATAAAGGAGCCTGAACAGGTCTTATAGCAGAAATATTCTGACTAGATTTCAAGGCCAGTTACAGTGCAGTGACACATGTAAACTTCAGCTGAAGCCCTCAGAGTTGTATTTAACAAAAGCAGTATTATACTTTAGGGGAGAGAGACAAAAGTGACTGCAACTGCAAGTTTATGTGGTAGTCACACACCACTTCAGGCAGTACCTGGTTTTAGTACCTGTGAACACATCCTCAAGTGGTGCTCGTTTACATAGATGTGTTGCTTCGATTATCCATTAAAATGGATCTAAAGCTTCACAGCTTCGATCCAGACAGGTTATTGTTTTGTATAAACAGTATGTTTATCGCCCTTCCTCTCATGCATAAGTACCTATTATTTCCTGCGCTAGAGCTTTCTGATGGGGTTGGTTACACTACCACCATGGGATAGCAAACAATGGCAGACAACCAAGCAAGAATAGCCAGAATACAATGCCACACCAGCGTGAGAAAGTTACCGATTCGCACTGTACTTCATATGACAAGAGTTCACCTTTCCCACGGTAGTTTCTGCCACCAATTATCCTCCCGTTGAACTAAAGGACAAACACTAACTGCTGTGGGAACAAGAATCACACCATCTGTCAAGACACTGCTTGCTGCTATTGAAGGTTAGAGTGAAGTATACTCTGCCAAAAAATTATTGGCTAATACTTGAGTTAACCCATTGAAAGTGCAAAAAGCCACACTGAGGAATTTATACCCTATATACACACAGCTAGATTCACACACGGTAATCTTGTCCTATACCAAGTCAGACACATCAATTGGCAATTTTCATTAATACCAGAAATTTTCACTATAATCAATCTATCCCTCATGATAGAGGGTTACCAGACTCTATTTTATATGGTATTTGTACAATTCCAATTAGGGCCTACATTAAAAAGTTTAACACTTGTCTTGTTACAAAAGACTGGAATAGGTATAAACTTCAGTAACTTCTTATCTGTCACCTCTTAAAAACCTCAGTCCTTTTAGCATTTCCACCAATTCCAAGGCAAACATGGTTGATGAGGGTGACTTTAGAAACAGAACTGCCTGCATGAATACTTCAGTTAAAGCATGCTCAAGTCAAGACAGATTTAACTCTTAGTAAGTTCATCCCTATAAAGGGCAGACTACAACCCCTTAGCAGCCAGACTGATTCAGTAACCAAACTAAGGCAGGTAGCCAGCATCTAAAAAGAAATAATAACATGGAAAGACAGCAAGCTCAGTGTCAAAGTAAAAAGGACTTGCTAAGCAATAAAAAAAAGTAGCCATAAGCACATATGCCCAAGCAGGACAAAGTGTTCCCAAGTCACACTACCTGCCAGGAGGTTATTCAAGCCAACAGGACATAAGCCAGGTGGAAGCACATTGCAACAGACCCCTTTGTATTCCTCCAGTGGATATAAAACTTGTGTCAGACAGAGGGACTGTTTCCCACAGAACTGATCGCAAATCTTGGAACAAAGAAAATTCTGTGTTCGAGATACTCTTGATAAATTTAATCTTCTATTTTCTATCCCTTATCCACTCCCACATTCTAGCTTCAAGACTTTAAGCCTATACCTGTAAAGATCCTGATGCTTTTTCTGCATTCAGTTTCTGTTTCATTTTGGAATTCATAGAATCTCTGCAGAGAAGAGAGTAAAAAATCAGTAACATCCGGCTGCAACTGAAGTTCAGGGACACTAGTTACAGAACATTACAATTTCAGTTTATCAGTTTTCATGACAGCATTAAAAATTCAGTCAGGAGTCGCATGGTCAGCAGGCTCTTCCAGAGCCCTCGCAGCCCCTCTTGGGGTTCCTCCCCGAAATATGAGCTTGAAACGCAAAGCCCGGAGGAGCCGCCCGGTGCCGCTGA